ATTGCACAATTAACGTTGTCATAAGCCCTTTGAATTACAAAACTACATATATAGAGGCGTTTTATACACTGGTAAAGTAACATATACCTATATATCAAGGTATATATACCCAAACATACGACTATATACACATTTAGTTATTTGAATGAAATTTGGACAAGGTTACTCTATTTCAAAGTATAGTATTAAGCATCTCTAATGTTATACATACATTACATAACACACAGGCAGTGTATGGTATATAATAGACTTTTTAGAATATTATAAACCTTAAGTTTTGAAAAGACTTGCGGAACAAATTGATTTAAAAAAAAAATCAATTATAAAGGCTCCCTTTTTTTCCTTCTATAACATATTGGGCAGATTATTATAATTTAAATATAATATATGTGTACATACGTTATATGAATGTTAATATTTGCCTCTGCCATGTTACTATTATTCTATTATTGTCAATTACAAATTATACACGTACATACTATCAACTTTCAGTAATCTAAATTACTTTAATTAATCGGTAAAATTACTATATGAAAAGACTTATAACTAAACTCAAGTAGCAAGAAATTGGATTAATTTTTTAAAATTAGAATATACGGCAAACTGAAGTTCTTCGAAATTTAAAAAAGATATTGAAGTCTTCTTTTTGAAATAAGTCTTTTTCTTGTTTAATAGTTTAAGCCAAGCATCGTAAATTTATGTAGTTTTAAAAAGCGACGCTAGACCCTTTGAAATACCTTTTCAAATTTATCCAAGATTCATCTGCAGTAAAGTAAGTTATATATTATTATGTTAGGTATCTGAGGTGTAAATCATAAATTAATATCTACAACATAGTTACAATCGTTGCAATTGAGTTTAAAGTTTCTATGAATATAACAAATTTAAACAAAAAAGAAAAATGCATAGTCTCCTAACAAAATCTCTTGATTTGGGAAATCGTAACTGCATATTTCATAATAAAAAACCATCTTAATTTAATTTAATTTTTACCACTTTTCCAAAAAAAAAAATTGGATAAAATGTGCTTATTAGTTTTATTTAGTTCATCCATAATATAAAGCTGAAATTTTATACACGAATAGACACTCATTTATGTAGAAGAAAATTTTTTCGTCGTTTTTTTTTAAATCATTTTTCTTCTGCACATTTTAGAAGACTGAAATTAACAGTTTTAAGATACTAATGAATAAAGTATTTCATTAGAAAAACATTTTTTTACTACCATATAATTAGTTCTCAATTCCGAATTCCATTATCTTAACGCTTCTTTCAATTTTTTTTTCTTTCATTGAAAATGTATGCAATAATTTTAAATTTTTGGCTTTTTCAATACTGAAAAGTGCTCCCTTAAAAACCCTTAGTTGGATCTAAATTTATTTTCTAATAAAATTATTGTGGTAATATTGGACAATCAAAAAATATTGACGCACGTATTTTGTGATTTTAAATTCTGACATATTGAATTGTTGATCATTGTTGTTTTATTATGATGACTTAATATATGCATAGCACATTATTATTTGCCCTAAAAAATTAAATTTAGAGAATAATTTAAGAGAAACAAAATTGGTTTTTGAAATTCCAAATAAAAAAAAGAAAAACTGTTAAAATTGTCGCATTGTAATTTGCTTCATAAACAAAATAAAATAAAGTTGCGTCAAACCAATGGTTTGTATTGTAGCACTTTTCGCTTCAACAATTAGTGAAAATGCTGCTTTTAAATACAGTCTATGTATATCTACTACACTATTAAAAATGTTTTTATTCATATACGAAACTATTTCTAGGATTGCATATATTCAGGATGTACGATTTATGCAATCTTTGATATAAAGCAAAAATTAATTTAAAGAGGGGTCAACATTACGCTCTATTTTAAGGGCTAATTGCGTAAGTTAAGAAAAATAATTATATTTTTTAATGTCATGAAATTTATCGTTAGCTTTTTCCGTTCATAGAAATTTGCAAAAACTTGCGGTTTCGCAAATATAAAGCGTCAAAAAATCAAATCTTACAAATTTCAAGAGGCGATAAGTTGAGAGGGGGTGGAGATGGAAAACAATTTTCTTCCAACGAAATAAACTATTTATTACACTAGTTAACTATTTTACTATGGACAGAGTGGAACTAATAAGCACTTTTTTTCAAAAAATTTTTGGAAAAGTCCTAAAAATAGCAGTTTTTGAGGATTAAATACAAATATTCATCATAGAAACGTGACTTTTAATATTAAAAAAGATGTAGTTTTAATAATATAAATTTTTTTATAAAAGGAAAAATAGAAACAACGAAAAATTAAAAAGCACAGCGCAATATCTTTTTATACGTGTGAGTGTATATCAATTAATATATGCATTGTAAACACATATATGTACATGTATGCGTTATATGTATTATACATGAAAGATTTCCAAAAGCATATATGTGTTACTTGAAACATTTCCAAAAACAAAGGAAGCATTTTTTTTAATAAATTATTGCTAAAAACAAATTGCAAATTTTTTAATTTACTTATTCATGTATGTTTATATGAACACGTACATACTCTAATTTATACCTAATAATAATTGAAAATATTACCCATTCAAATATGGTAATTACTTCATGTATACGAATGTTTGACGGATCCAATTTTCCGAGGCATTAAATGTCAAAAATAATTAGCCTATATTGTTGAAAAAAGCCTCATTTTAAGAAACGTATCATCTTCCTTATACTAACTGCATTCCACAAACTAATTTTAATTATTAGCGGAAAAAGTTTATATCACAATGAGCTTTTAAACATACCAAATAAATCCTAATTCAAAATATTACTGAACATTAACAGAACCTAACTTTTCCTGTACTTAGCTGTTTATATAAGAGTTTTTTGTATGGAATCAGGCGCATAAAAAAATATTTGATGTAATTTAGATAAAAACAATTTAAGACAGTTTTGCTTTAAGTACATAATTCTGCTAAACAAGCGAAACTAATTTAAAAAAAAAATCTTATCTATTATTCCCATTAATACATCAAATTTATATCGTGCCATAAATATGTAGTCATTGCATACTTTTTAGCTGAACGTTAACATAAATTTCGATTTCGACCGTTATTTAGGGGAGTAAAGATTAATTATGTATTATATTTCTTGATCGTAAAACATTTATAGTTAGAAAACGAACAAAAAAAATTAATAAAATAAACCATTAATTAATTTCTATAAGTAGTCAAAAATAAAACAGTAACAGTAAAACTGGACTCAGCAGATATACTATTCAATTTTTATACAATGAGGTTATTTATAGTAAAACAATAATTTACATTGTCAGTTTGTATCATTGCATGCAAATTTGCAATAGGCATGACAAAAGAACGGTAGATTTTGCAGCTCATTTTGATTACAGAACGGCGGCAGCTGGTTGATATTGTATAAATATATACATATATTCTCATTTCTGTAATAAGCTGTCAAATAAAAAGTTGTTGAAATTATGAAAACCAACTAGACTTTTGTTAAAACTTGAATAATTTCATGCCTTACGTATAAATCTCTTAAAATATTCACCCACTTATATGTATGAAATTTCAATTTTAGAGAGTTCAGAAGGTTTGCGAACATGGACAAAGGCGGACAGAAGAAAAGTTCAACAAATGAACTAATTTTTTTGCTATTTTTTTATATTTTGCCCAAAAACATTAATATCCGAATTTTAACCCAAAGTCAGTTTGAAACAACTATATTAAGTTTTGTGTTGTAAAAAAATAATAACCTTCATTTTACAATGAAAAAGCTATAGTTATCTATAACTCAAATCTACCATAATTAACTATCATCTTTTAACTACAACTCAATCTACCTTAATAAATATTTAAAAAATATAATGCAACCAAAATTTTTAAATCATAAATTTATTTTAAAAAATTAAATATTTTATTAAATTTAATTACTAAAAAAAATCCCTATACTGCAGTAACATAAAAGTTTTCTACTTAGAATTTCATTTTTCTTCAAAATTATTTCAACAAAAATATACTTTTTATTCTTTTCGTAGGTCAAATACTTTGCAGAAAAATTTGTATACCAATTCAATTATATAAAATGAGCTTTTTGCTTGCATATTTCTAAGAGGATTTTCATAAGGCACCTGAGCTATAATTATAATTATATATTTACATTGAAAAAAGGCTTTCAATGGTTATATAGCATATATACATTTTTTATACCTTCTTTAATATAATCATACAAAATAAAATTAAAATATCTATGCATATACATAATCTAATATATAAGTTATATATCATATTTGTCATATTATATATAAGTTATTAATAATCCGTCTAATAACTCAAATTATAAGTCTAAGAGTGTAAAACAGGTGCACCAAAACATATATATATATGTAAAATTAAGAAAAAGTTTTAAAATAATTTACGTATTTGCAAACTTACATTTAGACTTGATACAAGTAATAATATTGTATTAAATATAAAGAGATAAAAAAAAATACCAATTCACTTAACCATCAATCAAAAAAATAGGTTAAATTTATTTCTACTGAAATTCGACCACGTGCCGAAACGGACGGACTAGTCAAACGGTCTAACCATTAGCTCGGCTCTATCGTATTTTTGTGTGTACATTCCGTAAAGGAAGGCACGGAGCTGCTGTCACAGCGCTTTAGACTAAATCGAGAGGTCTCGTTCGCTTCAGTCTCTCCTGTAAATCAATACCCTCTCCCCTATAAGTCGAGAGGCCACGAAATATACATACTGTTCCAAACGAGCCCTATGTTCTTTATTTCCTCAATTACTTGGGGAACACCCAGATCCCTACAACTGTAACTATTGCGCACATACCAAGGAGCATTAACCATATATTGTTTGTTTGATGTGTATTTGCTTTGCACAGCCCCAGAGCTGCAAGCTATACATCCATATAGTCTTTATGATTTGGTAATATTTCAACAACTTATTGTAGGTTGACAATTTTGGTAAGACAGGAGCTAATACCTTATTGTTCTTTCGATCTGAGCTTGATATCCAAAGTCATACCTAGGTATTTCGCTGTTCCTTGGATTGATACTTTGACACCATTGAAATGCAGTGGTTGTGGGTTTACTAAATTTTTTTTTGTGAAATATGCATTGTACAGATTTACTTTCAGTTAGCTTAATTTTCCGTGTATTTGTCCATTTACTTGCTTCCTGTAATTTTTTGTCGATTGTTCAACATCAGATCCTATTGTCAATATTGCTGTATCGTCGGCAAATATAGACACAGTAACACCCTCAAAATCTGGCAAATCGCTTGTATAAGGCACGTATAATGTAGGCCCCGAATACTGTCCTGAGACACACACGGTTTCTCTGAGGAGAACTCCTCGTCATTTTTAATTCGAAAAAGCCTGTCAGATAAATTTGATTCAAGTAACTCCACGAACTGCAAAGGTTTCAATTTCTTAATTTTAAATATTAAACAGTCGGAACAAACTTTATCGAATTACTAAAATTCAGTTAACTTGGGGGAAAAATTCCTTCTAAGTCAACTGTAAATATTTCAGCTTTATATCATTTTTTGCCCATGATCCATCTGATTGTTTGAGTGTGGGGATTCGCTTTATAGGTTTTGGGTACTCTTCGTAATTTTCCATAACGAATAAATCGTTTTTTTAGTTTCCAATAAACCCCTCATATAACTTGCGTATAATACTGATTTAAAATTTTCTACTTTTCTTTTGAGTGTTTAGAAAATCTATTTACAACATATTTTGTGACACGACACTTGAAATTTACGTTTAACCCCTCTTTTTTGCACTATTAAATCAGTTATAGCTTTAGGATAATTATTCGATACAGGTTTCAATTCAGAGAATTTTTGTATTTTTGCGGCTTTCTATATCAATTTAATAAAACCCTTCACTTCAGAATCTAGTTGATCTTTGGTCTGCAGTTCAGTATTGAGTTTTATGTTTCAAATAACATCATGTTTAAAACCTAACACAGATTGGGTTTTTTTTGACTTCCGTGGGCTTCGAAAACTGACAAGGTGTTCCTTGTTGTAGTTTTGACACCCAGCCTGAAAATTATCTTTTTTATTACATTTTGCTGTCATATGATTACCAGCACGATTTAAGACATTTAGCTCCTCTTTGACAAAACCTTTGTGTGTGTCAGAAACTCTGGCATCTCTTGCAAAAAAAAAATTTTTTTTGATTGAAAATTTATTATTAGACTATGCCAATACTTACACAAAAAAATTCTTTCTATAAATTTACTAAATTTTTTGTAACTCGATTTTAATCATTTTTTCAATAACTTTCCGATTAGAGATATATGTTTTACATTTTCGGCATGTGTCTTTCAATGTCTTTCCATCAAAGCAATAGCTCAGAACTTATTTACCTAGATTCAAAGCTTGCGATAGAGGAATCAGAGAATGTATATAAATTCATAAGACAGTTCACATTGTTACCACTCATAAGTTCATATTAATATAAGAAGGTTAATAATTCATAATTCCAGCATTTTAACATATAAACATATATGTAAATATATATTTTAAAAGTTTTCTTATTGTTTACATCAATATATTTGATATTAAAAGTTAAAACTACTTTTAATTATTTTGGTACGCTAAAAATGCAAACCAGAAACTTTTGATGCTATCAAATTGTACCCCAAATTCAATTTAATAACAATGATAGTGGCAAAAATGTTTTTTAGTCATATTTCAGTTGCCGTTCTGGCGCGACGTATGACGCAGTGAACTGATGTTTTAATATTTTAATTCCAGATGTAAAAACAATGAATTTATAAATTTTTTGGAGAAATCAGGACTCAGAAACCAAACTGGGGCCGATTTTACATTTTCTGCTATATTGACAGAATTTCTTAAAACTTAATATTTGAGTTCCAGTTGTTACCACAAGTTACTGACGAACTTTTCTTATAATTCGGACGGCACAAAATGAAATTCTACTAAGAGCCAAATTTACATTTTTCAACGTACGTTAACTAAAAGCATTATAGTGTCCTAAAAATTCTAAAATAGTGTTTAAAATGCATTTTAATAATCATCTGGAATCTGAACAATATACATTGCAGTCGGTTATGCGCTGATCATATCAGATTTTTTGCAAAGTATTTATCATGTGACAAGAAACCTGGATTCACGAAAAAAGTAAATTCTAAAAAAGAAATTTAATAAAAATATACGAAAGAATAAATTAATCTATAATCAAATTTTTCATTTTTATCATAAAAGTTACAACAAGGAAATCATTTGACGGGATTGGTAATTTTTCAAAAAAAATTCGAAAAAAAATTTTTTTACGAAATTTTGGATAAAAATTTAAGGATCACTATTGGAATCTGAAAGCAAAACGCAAATGGAAACATTTTTTATTGGTGTGAAAATTTTTAGAGATCATTTTTATGTACGATTAAAGTATGTACATACATTTCAAATTAAATATTAACAATATTAATTCGCCTTTTTTAAGATTTCTTTAAATATATAAAAATGTTTTTTATTAAATTTATAAAAAAAAAACATTAAATGTTTGTCCTGTATTCTATAGTGTGAAATCTTGCACTACAATTTAAGTCTTGTAAATGATTGAGATTAAAATTTTTAATGAAATCCTTTACCATACACATCCATATGTGCATGTATATAAATACACATACGAGTAGTAATTTATTTATTTTGTAACCGTACATTAAGTTATTTCAAGGTTAAGTATCTTTTAAATTAAATATATATTAAAAGTTCTTTTAGAAATTTAAATATACACTTATAAAGAAACAAGGAATAACAAACAGAAAAATAATTTTTATTTTACAAAATTGAGTTCTTTTTCAGTTGGGTTTTAACGGGTTAGAAAAGAAAAAAATTTATAAATATGAATTTCCTTTCTTAAGATTTTTAATGTATACGTATACATATTATATAATATGCTTATTTAAATATGAGCATGCAAAGAAAGGAGTAATTTTGATAATTGTCGCTGAAGCTGTTCACAAGATTTCTGTATAGAAAACTGAATGCAATATTGTATACTATGTAAGTACTTACATTATATACTTATTTCAAGAAAAAGTATTTTAATTTCGTGTCAAGGATTTTAACAAAATAAAAAAACCAAAAAATAAAAAAAAAATCTCAGGAAGTTTAAAATTACAGAAAACTAATTTGAAAAAAAAAAATTTAAACTTTTCATTCTTGGCACTGAAGACTAAATTCAAATGAAGAGGGCAGCAATACTTGTGCAGTCATACTTATTCGAAGAAAAACAAAGGAAAAGTTTTATTTTAATATTTAATTTATTATTTAATAAAAAACATCATTTTTTAACGAAAATTTTAATTAAACTTATAAATTAATTTAATTTATCAAAATAAAAATTATGGGAAAAATGACAATTTGACAAAGAAATTTTTTCATTTTCAATACAAAACTTATTTCTGACTTTTAATCTTTTTCGGCACAATTTGGAAAAAAAATTAAAAAAATCTGCCCAATATCATTTCCATTCCGGTAAACGTTCGCTCGTCTATCCATTTGTCCAACATTGTTAAAAATGTAAAAATAATAAAACTATGTATATCTTATAGTAAAACTATTATTTCTCTGCATAGCTTTTTTGCGTATCTAAACTCTCCTCCAAATTATAGTTCTCCAAATACGTAAAAATTAAAATTTTAGCAAACGAGTCTGTTCAAGGCAAGCGTAATTTATTAATTCTGTGAACATAGAAAGGTCAAGAAAATCGCGTCTTTCATTAAAAAAAACTTTGAAAAAACTTATTTTCATTATTCGATAGTTCGCTTTCGTTATTAAAACTTAAAGCCAGCTTAAAGCTGATGATATTTTCAGGGAATTCGAGTGGCACAAAGCAGAATTCTACTAAGAACCAAATTTATACTTTTCTAGGTATGCTAACTAAAAGATTTGTAACTTCCTTAAAATTGGAAGGAACTTTTCAAAATGCGAGTTCATAATATTTTGTAACGCTTTCACTAAACTAGCAAATAACACTTTCGGTCATTTATGTGCTAACCACATCAGATTTTTTATTTTAATTAATTCTGAATTTTAATCGTGTTCCTCAAAACAATAAAAAAAATTGTTGTAGTTCGACACAATATAAAGTAAGAATCGATTATTCTAGGTTATTACCGTAGCACTTGTCCTAGAATTTTATAAACAATTCTCATTTTCGGATTGAAATAATGTAAAAATTGGTATTATTTACTATTTCTCAGGTTTTATGTCATAAATTTTGAATTACTTGCCACTCACTTTCACGAAATTACAAACCAAGCACATATATACACGCATAAAAATTTTTATGACATTATACATTTACAAAAGATTATTCAAAAAAAGTAAAGCTTATTCTGATTTTAAATGGAAGCAATCTCATAAAATAAGACCGTAATAACAGAAAAAAACAAGAAAAATTAATTCCTCATATATATAGGTATACATATTATATTTGTACATAAATAAAATAGATATAATATGTATAAATTCATAATTATACTTCAAATTTTACGTGTTGTGATGACAGAATAATGGCTTTAACACGCCAAAATCTATATAAAAATATTAATTTACTTCAAGAGTTATAACATTAGAATTGCCCAACTCATTTGGCAATCCTTAAAAATAAAAATAATCTTCCGGATAGCAATCAATCTAATGTTACAAAACTAAAATGATATAAGTTTGTAAAAATTATGTTACTGGCAACTGATATTCAATTACGTTACGCAAACATTAAAATTTTTCGTTAAAAAGCCTGATTAAGAAAGAAAATTAAAAATTTTGATCAAAATTATAAAAATTTAAATGTTTAAAGTTCTAAATAATAAAAAAATGATAAATTACATAGAAATTTGAGAAGTGTCTTTCAAATAATTTTTTGCAAACATAACAAGAAATTTACTCTCAGAAAATATTTTTTTGAAATAAAATATTTCAATTAAGGATAATTCCTTAAAAATAATATGCGGGGACGTAAAAAGAAAATGTAAGAAGAAGGTGCAAACTATAGATGAAAGGTTTCTATTCTATTATATTAAGTAAATGTGCTAGTAATAATTAATACTAGCTATGTTACAAAACGCTGCATCTATAATACATCATAATTTTTAATATTTGCATTATTCAGACAAATTTCTATCAGTTATTTATTGCAGTAAATAGGTATAGTACGAAATTGTAAGAAAACCATCAAGAAAGTTGTGTGAATATATAGAAAATTACATTGAGAAACACGCAAATAAAACATTGATTTCAAACGAGCCACATTGAATAGATCATCTTCACCGTTTATATAAAAATTAAATAAAATTTTTAT